GAAGGCTCCTGGCGCTGAGGAGTTTTTTAGGTGATAGTATCTGTTCACATGTGTGTTGGTACCAAATTTTGCACAAGATTTGATTATTATTTCACATTCCTTTATTGAAATATCCAAATAAATGGATGTGACATCAAGCTGGAGGACTAAATACTGTTTCCAAACTTGTTTTTGTAAAAATAGAAAATAACAACTTACTATGTGTTGTTCTAATAAAAACTATGGTTTTTGATATGCATATTTAATTTTTGAAATTACATTTCATTCTTTGTTAAAATGTGTACCAGGAATACTGAAATCTTTCAGATCAGCTAACAATACCTTTGTAACTTATATAGCCAAGTGTTCTATCTATTTCTGTTCAGATTAAACAAATGATGGGTAAAATATTAGATTAGATTTTTGCAAAAAAATGGGCTTGCCTGTTTTCAAAGCGTAAAAAGCAATAAAATAAAGCAAAAGTACTTATTTTCAATAAAACCTTTGGAATGCATAGCTTAATGTTTTCCACTAAATATTACAAAGTTTTCGTTCATTAAAATGTTGTTTTATCAGCTTTAAAACCAGATAAATTCACGAAACACTCCCAATATATGTCGCCATATTGATTTTTCGCGCATGCTCAGACAAATTGCCCACCTGTTCTGAGAACGAGGATGGGTTCCTGGCGCAGAGGACAAGGTTCCTGGCGCTGAGTACAAGGTTCCTGCCGCTGAGGACAAGGTTCCTGGCGCTGAGGAAAAAGGTCCTGGCGCCGAGGACAAGGGTCCTGGCGCTGAGGACAAGGGTTCCTGGCGCTGAGGACAAGGCTCCTGGCGCTGAGGACAAGGTTCCTGGCGCTGAGGACAAGATTCCTGCCGCTGAGGACAAAGTTCCTGTCGCTGAGGACAAGGTTCCTGGCGCTGAGGACAAGGTTCCTGGCGCTGAGGACAAAGCTCCCGGCGCTGAAGACAAGGCTCCTGGCACTGAGGACAAGGGTGCTTGCGCTGAGGACAAGGTTCCTTGCGCTGAGGACAAGGTTCCTTGCGCTGAGGACAAGGTTCCTTGCGCTAAGGACAAGGTTCCTGCCGGTGAGGACAAGGTTCCTGGCGCTGGGTGCAAGGGACAAGGCTCCTGGCGCTGAGGACAAGGTTCCTGCCGCTGAGGACAAGGTTCCTGCCGCTGAGGACAAGGTTCCTCGCGCTGAGGACAAGGTTCTTCGCGCTGAGCACAAGGTTCCTCACGCTGAGGACAAGGTTCCTCACGCTGAGGACACGCGCGGATGTCGTCGTACATTCTCGTCACTCGGACTTGTAAGTTATGATGTAGTTTTTAACTGACAGGTAGAGAAATGAGAGAAGCTTAGATACTGTACCGTGCACTAAACTTAGTCTTGATAAACCTATTATTATTATATTATTTTATTAGATTCTAGTTTTCCGTGAAATTGCTTTATTAAGACAGGTGATTCGTGAAACAGCTTTTTTTTTCGTTGTGAAACGTGATCCATACCCCCTTTCGCACCCTCTTCGTACGTAATGTCTTCCTTTGCGCGTGGAAAGGTACAGATAATAATATATTTTATAAAATAACATGTATATAACGCGTGGTCTGATTGGTCGAAACCCATGTTTGGATCAGGCCATCCGAACATGGAAATTTAAAGGGAAGTTTTTTAAAGTGAAATTTTAACACGGAAAGTTGTTATTTTATAAAACAATTACTTTATGGTTTCCGTGTTTGGATGGCCTTATCCAAACGCTTGGGAATGTTGCTCGAGTTAACAAAAGTGCGCAAAATCACTCGCCTTCGGGTCGTGTTTCGCGCGTTTTTCTTAACTCTCGTAGAATTCCCGCGTCTTTGGATCAGGCCATCCAAACGCGGAAACCATAAAGTAATTGTATAATCTTCATTATTCATGGGTCATTAATATTCAACTCATGCAGCCACATTCACTAAGAGAGTGCACGTAGCCTATATCGTCAGGCAGATAGAGGCTCAAAATTATGGAAAACTTACCATATCGTTGGACAATTGCATTTTGCCTTCATATTGTGCCCTGAAGGCTAGTAAGTTCGTTTCTGTATGTTGGCCGCGTTAAAATTTCTTGTGGGCTCCTGCCGACACGTTTTCTTAGAATTTGTATTAAACTCTATTACAGTTAAAAAATGTGAAATTTCCGATTCATTTCTAATACAAATGACTTGCATCAATAGAAAGCTAACAAAAAATTACATACAAGACATTTAAATGGTTAGTTGGGATTTTAAAGCGGTTTTCGAGTTATTGCTGTTTTAAATGTGAAAAATAAGCCAAAATCTCGCAAAATTCCTGGGTACTAGTCTGAAAACACGCATTCAACAGCTCATAACTAAAGAACTTGAAAATCTCAGGTAACGGTTTAAAAGTCTTATATGTAGTTTTTTGCAAGCTTTCAAATTATGTAAATCATTTGTGTTAGAAATGTATTTGAAATTTCACATTTTTTAACTGTAATAGAGTTTAATACAAAATTCAAAGAAAAACGTGTCGGCAGGCGCCCACAATAAATTTTAACGCCGCCAACATACAGAAACGTACTTACTAGCCTTCAGGGCACAATATGAAGGCAAAATGGAATTGTCCCACGATATAGTAAGTTTTTTCCTTCTATCTGCCGGACTAATACGCTTGTAACACAGTCTGAAAAAATCACGCCAAAGGAGAAGTTGACCTATATATAGAACTAACCAACGGAGCCACAAAGTCCTGTTCATTCTCGTACCCAGAGCCTTTCTTACCCGCGGTGCGACGAGGGGCTCTGGCCAAATCCATATCCGAACTGGCATCTGATTGGCTAGTTCTAACACTGGATATTGTTTTCTTACCATGTTTTTATGGTATCCGGTTATGGATTTGGCCAGAGCCCCTCGTCGCGCTCGGTCGAACACGCGTAAGAAGGGCCCTGGGTACGAGAATGAGTCCAGTTGTCAAGCTCCAACTGCAAGTTCGAGTAATTATATTAAGGTGATGCCAGTGAAAGGTGTACGAGTAAATATCAGGATTTTAGGCCTATTTAACTCATAGGTTTGGGCATCTCCCACGTGCTAAGTACTTATATATAGTATTAGCCATTCCGAAGTTGATGAGTGGACTGGGGACGAGTGTTAAAACGTGCCCAAATTAACAAATGAACCAAATCACTAAAAAGACCACCTCAAAATTAGTAAGTATACAAAGTTTGAAGACGTTTACATGAATACCCTTCGAATAACAAGCTTTCGAAAATTGTGAAATTACTGATTAAAAGATTGTTGGGACGCGCGTCCCAAAAACAAAAATTACAATACGTTTGATAGTAAATATCACGATTTTCCAAAGCTTATTATTCCAAGGGTATTCATGTAAACGTCTTCAAACTTTGTATACTTACTAATTTTGAAGTGGTCTTTTTAGTGATTTGGTTCATTTCTTCCTTTGGGCACTTTTTAACACTCGTCCCCAGTCCTCTCATCAACTTCGGAATGGTTAATTGCCAGGGGCCGCGGCACCAGGGGGGGGGGGCAATGGGATCATGTGCCCCCTCCCACCTTTTTTAAAAGTGAAGAAGTGCCCTTTTTTCTGGGCTAGAAAGAAAGAGCCCTTTTTGCAGTAGTAAAGACTCTGTAAAGGCCATTTCCGACGTTATAGAGACCCCACCAGTTATACAAAAACAATTTTGTATATTTATTCTAAATGCATATGTATAAATTGAGGGGCACAGGTTTCTCTGTCAGCTTTGATGTTACGTGTATAAAAGACATGTCTTTTGGATTGTCTATGGTGTAACCCTCGTAAAATAAAGTTTTCGTTTATTCATATATTTTTTACATAAAAATACCATTTTATACACTCGAGATTTCCATCTACAAAAAACTCTCCAACATTAAGTCATATCGAATAAGATGGCCAAACCTGGGATTTAAACTTAATATATCTTAGTACATCAGATTGCTGAAAATAGAGTTTTATTGATGAACTTGAAAGATGTGTTTCAGTGACTGTGTTTTGCACTTCACTCGGTATTTATGGTTCACGTCGTCTTTAAAGTGCATATGACACGAAATTTCACCCCCAAATGTTTATGATTGCATTGTAAAGATCACTTAAAATGACTTAATAATTTATTTTATAGAATTTTGGTAACTTGCTTCTTTTGTAAGATATTCAACTTTGTTTCATATGCAAATATCACCGGTGTGACATCACATCGCATAATGACATTTTGAAAACGCAATATTTTACCGTGATAAAATATTTTACAAACAAATACAGAGGGTTACTAATTACCAGTTATTAAATTAATACGTATATAGGAAATTTTAAAGTTTTTTAGATACGTATTCGTCAAGAAAACTATACTTTTCTGAAAACTCATTATGTGATTTATGTGATGTGATGTCATATGAAACAACGTTGAATATCTTGAAAAGGGAGCAAGTTACCAAAATTCTACAAAAGAAATTATTAAGTCATTTTAAGTGATCTTTACAATGCAATCATAAACATTTGGGTTGAAATTTCGTGTCATAGGCACTTTAATTGTGCAAATATGCTCACTGGGATTAACGATCAAACCCAGCATTCGAAGTTTTATTACCCTTTCACCCAAACAATTTTACTATCAACAGAGAAACATTCCTCGTTTAACATGACATATAACAGGGGTTGAAAAGTAAAAATTGCAATTGTATTGGCATTTCAGCTGTTTTGTTTAATTGACCTTAAGATGAAATATACGATATCGATGGAAGCCTTGGCCAATCAGTATAGTAATATAATTAGGTTTACATACAAAACGCTAATATGGCTGTCTACTGATTGCATGCTCTCCGCAGACATTTTGGGCGATCATTTTGCCACACTCGTTTTGAATGAATTCTTCCTGGTCTTGCAAAACCAACACGCAAACTCTTATATTGCAAAGGTTTACTTAAAAATTATGAAAGTTTATACTAGTCTACAATCTTTGACAATACAGATTGGGACAATCTAGTTTTCACATGCATTCGTACCACTTACTGATACATTTTTCCACCCTCCTCCACACTCTCTTTCAATGTTGGCGCCTCGCAACCAGAGTACGTAAATGCCCGATTCCACGACGGCGAATTCTTCGCAAGAAATTGCACATGAGCGATTCCATTGAATTTTCCACTACTCACTGGTGAAGCGAATTTTTTTCTCCCGAAGCCTAATTTATCTTTACTGCGCATGTGCACCTAATTCACTGCGCCGAAGAAAGAGCCCGTGGAATCAGGCCTTGAGGTTTTTTGAGGTAAATTAATGATTAAATGAATTGCTAATTACATTGAAATAAACAATTTCGAACGGTCGGTGCCATGCAGTGTGAGCAACGACGATAACAAGACAGCTGCGGATTGACAGAGATACAACTACGTGAAAAATATAGACGTTAGGGACGTTACTGTCTCTATATCACATTGAATTTATATTCAAATTTCGTATGCAATCCAATGTACTGCACAACCATTCTCGTATAGTTCTATAAATAATGTCCGATCATGTCCAACCAAAACGTGGGTTGGTGTGACAATAGTATCAGGCCAAGTTTTCTGAATTATATTGAAGGTGACAATACGCAAAGGTTCAAGGGGGCGTTGATATTTAGTCTGTAGTTAGTTGTTTAGCGCGTGGGGACTAGGCATGATCAGGTATTGCAAGCGTACACAGTCTGCACACAGGCTACACGTTTAACTACGCCATATAGTAACACCCACATGCATGCAGGTTTATGGCCGTAACTTAGTTAGCCAACGGCATATATACACCCTCGTTTACCTATCTCGTCAACGGTGTAGGTAAGTTTATAGGCTATAGCTATAAATATAATACAGAGTGTAGGCAAGAACCAGTGGAATCAGCAGAAACAAGAGCAACAACTTTACTATCCCAGCAAATCTAGAACAAATTGAACAAAACATTCTTTGTAATGTTATTCTTTGCTTTGGTCATGAATAACTATCATGCTCTGCACTCTAAAAACGCTCTGGTTAAAATTTCCTGTTTGGCCTCGAAATAACACTATTTGGGTTGACATAATATTCCTGGTTAAATTTCGTGGTTAATTTTATTTCACTTCCTTCCATAGACTGGTAAATTGTAACCAGGAATCTGGTTATATTTGTCGAGCTGGACGCCCTTGTTAAAATAACCAGACCATGCATATAAAGGAGTATAGAAATAAAATAAAAAAAGTTAAAATAACCAGACCATGTATGGAGGAGTAAAATAATTTATCGACCAAACTAATTTATCCATCTGGGGGCGGTTGTATACGAACGGCGGATGTAGCTATCAGCGATTTTTTACCGCTTTCACTGAAGCTAGAAAACTATATGCGGATATGGACCTCACAATTAATAAATAGAAACTTCAATTTATGAATACTAAAGTTAACTTTGACAATTAATTTGTCACGCATGCAAATACAATATAAATTAGGACTACACGTATAACAAATTACAAAACAAATGTGTGACAGGAGACAGTAACAGGACGAAGTCCCAATTGACAACTGCCCCCATACAGAAGTGCCTGACAATTACAGTAGCAATTACATTAAAAAGCAAAAAGACTAATTATGGCGATGTGTAAGAAGAAAGTTTGTTTAAGAGACGAACAATTTTTACAATCCTGTATAAAGTAGTCATTTTGTAATATAGTTCAAAGTTTCTTGGTTCAATAATGACTAACACGGTAGGAATGAAATACTGAGTACAGTCAATGTTCATATACCCTGCATGATGTAAACTTGAGTAAAAGGATAAGATCCTTTAGTTCCCTTCGATATTGTAAGGGTAAAAGGCTCAAAATTTTGAGTCTATCAGGATGGGTTATTTCACGTGGGGATAATTTAAAATAAATTTCGTAGCTCGTCTTTGGACATTTTAGATTAAGGTCCAATGTTTGCCAGTAGATGGTGACCATAGACTGGAGCTGTGTTCAAGTTGCGGTCTAACTAAAGAGCAGAATAAAAGCTTTCTAATGTCAAAGTCGGTAAGATCGCGATAAACTCTCTTCACTAGACCGTGTTTCTTGTTTGCTCTGGAAACCATTTCCTCAATATGGCTGCCCAATATAAATCACGAGATATATACTAGTTAATATACGGCACACACTCCTGAGATTCTCCACCCAAAAAAATAAGTCCAAATTGTACTAGGGACCCTTTTCCAATCCACACTCCACTTATAAAGACTATCAAGATCTTGTTGGAGGAGTGTCTGTGACCTGGGGGAATCAAGAGATCTGTATAGTTCAGAGTCATCTGCGAAAAGAGCCAATTTGATCCTGAACAGATGTATTCGGGTAAGTCATTGGCAAAAACAGTTAACAAAAGGGGTCCAAGTATGGATCCTTGTGGTACTCCCGAGGTGACTACTAACCAGTCAGAGTAAGCACCCTCTAAAACTACCCGTTGTTATCTTTCAGCCAGATAGCTCTTGAACCACTGAAGTAAAGGACCAGAGATACCATAACGTTCCAATTTTTCTATCAACAAGTCATGCAGAACCTTATCGAATGCCTTCGATAGACCTAGGTGCAAACCCATGTTGGAAATGTTAGAGGAACTGCGACAGATGGCGATAGAGTGATTTGCTACACAGCACTCTAGTACTTTTGATAATATACACAATATGGAAATCGGTCTGTAATTTAAAGGAAGAGACCCGCCTCCGATCATCCTTTTTGAAAACAGGCACGATATTAGCTTTTTTCCAGTTGCAGGAACAAGACCAAGTGACAGAGACATATTATACAATCGGCAAAGGCTTGGAGCAATATCTCTAGCTGTAGTCTTGTCGGAATATCATCGGGGCCACAGGGCTTCAATTATCTAGGATACTCAATATTGGATAACTGCTGTTCTGTAAAAGGCTGAACGGTATATGTGGATGTTCGCTGGAGAGCGGAGCAAAATTTGAACAAAATTTCTCTCCCCAAAAGTCCGTAACTACTTTCCCCCATCCCTTAGGATATTTGGACTAATTTTCTGTGTGGAGGAGGCTTTTAAGTAAGACCAAAAATGCCTCGGGTTTTCGAATACAGAATCTCTAATTTTACATGTGCTGGCTTTCTTTTTCATCGTGAACATTTTCTTTGTTTCTCGCCGAAGCGGTTTAAATTTTAATATCTCCTCAGGACATTTTGACTTATTAGCTTTCAACCCTTGTTTGTTTTTCTTTCTTATTAGCATTTAGTAATTCTGAACCTAACCAAGGGGGAACGTAAGTGTTTCTGGTTTTACACATCGGTACATTTTCTTTAACAGCTGATAGAAAGAAATCACACCAATTTGACAGGGAATTGTCAATATTCGCAGAGTTAAGACAAAGATGGGTTAAAAAAAAGACAAAGATCCCACGGGATATTTGCAAGGCATTCTTTAAGGCTAATCCAATTTGCACTTTTGAAGTAATAAATTAGCTGTCTAATGACAGGCCTCTTAGGAATATTTAGATTCGAGATGAAATTTATAATTTTATGGTCGGTGCTAAGTACATCATCAAAACCAAAACATTTATAAGGATTTTCACCGGAGTATCTGTTAATACCAAATCCATGCAGGATGTTTTCATTTCTATAGTAGGAAAATCTACCATTTGCCATAGATAATGATCTCTCACTAACTTTGTCAAATATGCATGCATGTACAGCTGGTTTTAGCAACGCCAGTGCTCCAGTCAATATGTGGGAGATTAAAATCACTGTCTGCATGGTGGATAGCGCTATCCGCTATTTCGTACAACAGACCCCTTATCTTTAGTTATAGGCATAGATAAATAATTTATCCAGAAACTTCTGCTTAAATTAACCAGCACTATAAGTTAAAAAGGTTCAAATGGCTACGAAATTTACCCATGCAGGAATATCAAGTTTACCCAAATGTTATTTCTATAGGGTAACCATGAACATTTTACCAGTGTTTTTAAAGTGTGAGTATACGTGGGGGATTATGAGTAACGTATTAAACAATACTCTGCGAGGAATGTTTTATGCAAAGATCAAGGGCGGATTTTCATTCTTTAAAAAGGAGGGGTGGAAAAATTTCTAGCGGGGTGCAAGCGACACCAATGAGCGAGCTTCGGCATGAGGGGTTAGGCGTTAGGGTTAAAGACTTTCACACAAAATAGGAGGGGTGAAGCCAATCTCGTTCCCCGAGCCTGCGATCCTCGGGAAGGAACGCGAGGCTCTGGGATAATCCGCTTCAGGGAGGAATCTGATTGGCCATTGAAATGGAATGCGTAGTTCAATCTTAGCCAGGATTCTTGGCTTCCGGTGTCAAGCGAAATTCCTGACCTCTGCTAAATACCTGACCTAGCGTGACGGGTCAGAAATTTCGCGCGTACAGGCGCGAAATACATGACGCTTGCTAAATTCTAAGTCGGCCAAAACTGTTTTTTAGAGTTTAGATAAAATAATCATGATGTTAATTTCTAATACTTCGTTAAATATTTCAAATCGACATCGCTAAGTTTCAATCACAAACACTTTAAATTTCAAAGCGAATTGTGTGGTCGTGACCGCGAAATACACGACGTTTGCTAAATACGGTCGGTCGAAACGATTTTTAAGTCCATATGGTATGCGATGTTACCAAATGTTTCTAGCATAGACATCGCCAAATCTAAACGGCCAACTCATGAACTTCGAACTCATCGTTGCTGCTTACTAAATAGTGAGAAGGTCAAACGCGAACGATTTTTAGTGCTTATAGTATAGTAATGCATATACGGCATAACCTTTGAAACTGGAGTCTATTTTATATCACTAAGATTGCTTTTCGAGTGATTTTTCCTTATCTACGATTCAAGGTTTATTATAACGTTCACAATCAGTGGTATAGTGTCAATTCAGTTGATCAATTGTAGAATTAATGTTGGAAAATTTATGTATAAATAAAATGGCTTTATAAATACACGTGTTGTCTGTTCAGTTGCGAAATTTATGAGCCAAAGTCATTCATGCGCATCGTCTGCGCATGGGCAGTTCTACAATAGTCAGATATTTCGCAAGTCAGGAATTTCGCGTCACACCGGTAACGGATTATCCCAGAGCCTTCGATTCCTTCCCGAAGATCGCAGGCTCGGGGAACGAGATTGGGGTGAAGCGAAATTTTGGTGGGATTGAACACTTTATAAGCGGGGTTAGAGAGGAGGGGGTTAACCCTCCCAACCCCATTAAATCCGCACATGGCAAAGATATACTTCACGTGTTTGTTTTTGTGCATATCCAGGTGTACCTCTATATACTATATCATTACAAAACAATAGATACTCCGAAAATTGAAAGCATTTTGAAAATTTATTTCGACGTTTCAACTAAACTATAGTCATCATCAGGAAATGAATGAAAAAAAATATAGTTTAGTCGAAGCGATAAATATAGTTTAGTTTATCTATAGTTTAGTCGAAACGTCGAAATAAATTTTCAAAATGCTTTCAATTTTCGGAGTATCTATTGTTTTGTATTTTATCAAAATACTCAGTGGTTCCCGTAATATCATTACATTACTGTGAAACTTACGATGAAGGTTCGAGTTTGATTTCCTTAACTATGGCGTTGGTCATGTTGTAGGCAAGAATCTTAAAAAAGATGATGAACAAAAATTAAAACCTTAATATGCTGTAAACTGTATGGTAGCCTATTACATTTTAATTCAAGTTTCAAGGTTTAAAAAACTTTACATAACTTGTTATTCTTAGACGTTTTTCAAGTTAATATTTTTCTTGTTAATGTTCGGGCGACTTAGTAAAAATAAACTGTATTTATCGCAATTGAAACCAGATGTGTTTCTTATTTTCCTTTAGTCATACCATTCTACAGTATATGCACCCTTTGTACTTCGACAAAACGGCGGAGCTGGTTCACTTGATTTCATCAGAAATACTTCTGAGCCATGTTGTGATAAAATCGGAATTGCTGGCCGGGATTGATAGCATTGAAAAAGTTTCAAATTTTCGAACAGACTTTCTAGCAGCAGAAATCGCAGACCCAAAGTAGCAAACCTTTTCCTGAATAAGTTTATTCTTCATTTCATCGTCAACACCAAGGCCATTTATAGAATCTTTTAACTGTTTTTTCAGTTGAACTGCACTCTGATTAACGAGAATAACCATTATTGTTATACAGCTAGGGCGAACACCAAACAAGATTGGCTGATTTGTGGTCACATGGCTTTAGATAAATGCAATGTATCCCGCCGGGCAACAAGTGAAAAAAAGTTGCTTGGCCCGACCAACTACCGTACAGTATATATAAATAAACAAAATGGCGGCACAACTCGCAAGTTTATAAAATACCTGCACGTTTGTGTTAAAATTAAGATGGTAAAAGAGAAGAAAAATACATAACAGGTAATAGGATATGTTGCCGAAACCGTTTAAGTGGGTTCTTTTAATTTTAAACTCGCTTACACTATAGAGTTTTTGTCAGGGAAATACATGCAATTGTTGTATTAATATTGACATTGAGACTCTCGGAAAAACTATTTCCCTCGGGAGCAGACATTAGGGACGGACCATTAGAAAAGTTATGGGGGGAGGGGGCAAAACCAAAAGGGCTGAAATTTCATTTCAGAAAAAAATTAAGAAAAAAAAATCTTCCCAGGCATAGTGCAAAAAAAAAAAAATTCCTTGCTTAGAAGATAGGCCAAGTGGTGTAGGGGAGGGAGGGCTCAGGGGGGCTTAGCACCCCTTGTTAAAATTTCATGTTGACTTGGGGGGGGGGAGCTGAGCCCCCCTATGTTTTTGGCGCGTTGCATAATCTTAAAGTGCCAATGCAACGAAATTTTCACCTCATTTTTTATTGTTTTTCTAAAAAGTACTGCAGGAGTGATGAAGAATGACGTTTACAGTTTCGTCATATCTCATCTCATTCTCAAGTTATCGCACTTTCTATATTTCGAGTTGTGACGTCACAAGTATGAGTTGAGATAATGGCAATAACAAGAAAGTATGATATCTTGGTGAGCATTTAATAAAATGTAATGAAACTTGGTACACTTAGTGGGTGCACAAAAAAAAACACACAAAAAAAAACACACACACAAAAACACACACAAAAATATCAGTAAACGAGAATGTTCTTTAGAATTGTATCTCATTTTCAGTCATCATTTAACACAATAATGATTTTTGTAATCTTTATATTCTTATATATGTAATCTTCAATTGATTAATTTTAAGCTGCTACATTATCCATAACAAACTGCAAAGAATGAAGATATTACCCATAATTTCCTGCAATTTATCCAATATATAGTTAACTAAATAGGCTATTAGTAAAACACGGAGCACGGATCACGGAGTACGGAGCGCACGGAGCACACGGAGAACGGAGCACACGGAGCACGGAGCACACGAACTACGGAGCAGTAGAAAAACGAAAATCCTTTATAATAAAATACACTGTTTACTATTACAAATTTTTGTTCTTATTAATAAAGTTTTTTCGCATTTTACACGTTGAGGAAGTAGAAAAATGGGGCTTTTACTCCACATATGATGCAAAACTGCCAAAAGCCATAGTATTTAAAATAGGATTGTGCCTGTGAAACTCGTTATCTCATATCTATCAAGCTTATGAGTTATGTAGTTATATTATATTCCGATTATGGCCAACGCATTAAGAAACACTTCGAGAACAGCCGAGTATATTTCGTTACCCCTGCCAAAAAATAGCCAAGTACTCATCTTTCAATGTAGCGGATCGACTGAACATTATAAAAGCTTGTCATGGAGAGAAGTGAATTTTCGGTTTATCCTTCGTCCCAGTGACCAGTGAGCAGTGTGCTGTACGGCCTACGTTTAAACCGTTATACATAATTACTGCTTTCATTCTTTCAATTAAATCATTCACTATTATATTATAAAACTGTATAAGATAGCTGTAGAACTATAAATGCTGTAGAATAAAATAAATAAAGAAAACTACGTTTTATCGCGGTATTTGCCGATAAATCGGTAACCGCTACAGAAAAACAGAACAAATTACAGTAAATCACAACAAACCGCGGAAGTGGGACAATTTTTGTATTTTTACTGTAAGACATGCAGAACATGTACGAAATCCATACAGAAGTGTGTGTGTATTCTATATACTTTTGAAACAACTAAATCAGACTTCGGAAAATTTGACAGTATTAAAGCTACTTTTGAGAATTTAGATTTTAGGTCTTTGTTTTACATGTACCCAGTAAATATTTTTGAGTTTTGAACTTTGATTCTCACAAGCTTACAATTTGTTTACAATTTACTCAGCCTCTGGCTCTGCCGTGCTGCACGGCAGAGTTGATCGGAATTGTAACAAATACGCGTACACTTAAATGGCTTCCTGAATTTAGTCAATCAGATGTGTAAAAATTACTCGTTTCAATTTCATGTTTATGCTCGAAACTGCTCATGTTTACAATAGCAATTCAAAATTCTTGCCCTCCCTTTCGCCTTTGAGACGTTGGTGTTGATTTATACACAAAATTCAAAACTCAAAAATATTTACTGGTCTGGGTACATGTAAAACGAAGACCTAAAATCTAAATTCCCAAAAGCAGCTTTAATACGGTCAAATTTTCCGAAGTCTGATTTAGTTGTTTCAAAAGTATAGAATATACACACACTTCTGTATGGATTTCGTACATGTTCTACATGTCTTACAGTAAAAATACAAAAATTGTCCCACTTCCGCGGTTTGTTGGGATTTTAATACTGTAATTTGTTCTGTTTTTCTGTAGCGATTACCGATTTATCGGCAAATACCGCGATTTGAAAACTTACTTTTCTTTATTTATTTCATTCTACAGCATTTATAGTTCTACAGCTATCATATACAGTTTTATAATATTGTGAATAATTCCGAATATTCAAAACGAATTGAAAGAATGAAAGCAGTAATGATGTACTGTATAACGGTTTAAACTTAGCCGGCCGTACAGCTCACTGCCACCGATCACTGAGCCGAAGGATAAACCGAAAATTCACTTTTCTCATCAAAGATTTAATGTTCAGTCGATCCGCTACATTGAAAGATGAGTATTCTAAGTCTTGGCTATTTTTTGGCAGGGGTAACGAAATATATCGGCTGTTCTCTACAGTAAGTGTTTCTTTATGTGTTGCCCATTGGAATATAATATAACTACATAAGCTTGATAGATGTAAGATAACGAGTTTCACAATCCCATTTTAAATACTATGGCTTTTGGCAGCCTGGTTTTGCATCATATGTGTTTTTCAGTAAAAGCCCCATTTTCCTACTTCCCCAACGTGTAATACGCGAAAAAAACTTTGTTAATAATAACAAAAAATTGTAATAGTAAACAGTGTATTTTATTATAAAGGACTTTCGTTTTTCTACTGCTCCGTACTTCGTGTGCTCCGTGCTCCGT